ATGCGAATCAGAAGTGCTGTTGATGCAAAATACACACCAGATCGCGAAGGCTTGATGTGAAATCAAAACATAAAGGATCTCACTAACAACTGCCTATTGACTTGCTGATATTTTGAAGATATTGAATTAAATAAAACAATTGTAAAAACTAAAGCCGGTGGGTGGTGCCAGGTACATTGATTCACCTGCTCTTTTTGCTTCTTTTTGATGTGGCCACTAGAAAATTTAAGATTACATAGGTAGCCTGCATTTGCAGCTCCCAATTGTGCTGGAATCCCTGGCCTAGAATCCAAGGCATCCTTAGGTGACTAGCATTATTTCCTTCTTCCCAATGAATGAACCAGCTTGCAGGTTGATGGGCTTGACCAGGACACCAGCTAAGAGCCACAGAAGCAAATTCACCATATGAGAGGCCAGTGATTTTTCCAGCTGGACAGTCTACTGGTTGACAAAACTCCTAAAGTAAGAGACAAATTGTTGTTTTCACAAATCCTGCAGAAGAATCTAGTGCCAGCAAAGACTGATGCAAATATGGAAGGCAAAATAAACACCTGCGGTTTACCTCACAGCGCTAGTCGGGGATGCGAAGGCTCAGGATGCTTCTTTGTGCTTAGGCTTTGGGGTTCTCTGTATGAACTGGAGCCAGTTCCCTTCCTACTAGCAACTGGCTGGATTGTCTTGTAGACTCAGATTGTGTGTGTGTGTGTGTGTGTTGCTGAGGATCCAACCCAGGGCCTTGTGCGTGTGAGGCAAGCACTCTACCAACTGAGCTAGATCCCCAGCCCCCTAGATTCAGATTCTTGAGCAGTACCTGCTTGGAACCTCACCCTAACTAGACACTCGAATGCTGACTTGGATCTAAGGTAGTCTCACCTTGAACTTGGCTTTTGAAGGGCCTATGGTCAACTGCTACTCAGTTCCTGATTGAATGGGTAACAGAAGCACCTGGGAAGAGGCCACCTCTGCAGGCACCCAGAGAGAGACTTGAAGTTCCCATGACAAGCGTCTCTGGTGTTCTGGGGGTAAGACTAGAAGCTTCACACCCCAGTGGTGGGTTAGGGGCTGACTTCTCTTCCTTGGTAGTAGTGGGTAAGTATCCTTTTCCCATCATTTGGAGGAGTGACACAGATCCATGACCACAGTCCTTCTCCACCATGAGAAGAATGAGCTGGTTTTTTTCAACAGCAGTTTACAATTTTTACCCCAGAATTTTGGGTAAACAGCCTCCTGTGCTAGCTAATGGCTTTATTGGATCACCAGCTCACCTCTTACATTCAGCCTCTTGGGCACACAGAGGAGTCTGGGTTAGAAAAAAAGTCCAACAGGATTCCGTCTCCCAGGTGGTTTTCTTACACTTCTTTGGGAAAACCTTGAGCTCCAGTCTGGTGTGCGTCGGCTGCCCTCTGCTGGGCAGTGCTGGCATGGCATGGTCTCCCAGCTGGCCGGCTAATTCTCCAGGGATGAAGAGGCTCATTGACTCAGCCATGGAAATACTGACGGAAAAGGAATACCATCATAGTGCTGGGTGCTGGGGACTTATCAAGAAGCAAAACAGATGCATATCCCTGTTCTTCTGGGTGATATTCTTGCACAGTGATAAGTGCATGGAAAAAATTAAAAAGTAGGATATGCAAAGTGATTGGAAGTGCTGGGGCCGTGGGAAAGGTGAGTTACAAATTTAAGTAGCTATCCATCTTTGAGCAATGACTTGAAGGAGGTGACTGGAGAGAAGAGTGTGGTCTCGCAGGCCACGGGTAAGAACCTGGCTGCACTCGTCTGCTCGTCTACCACAGGCTGGGTGACAGAAACACAGGATTCATTTCTTCACAGTTCTAGAGCCTGGACGTGAAGATCAAGATCAGGGAGGTGCTGGCCAGCTGGGCTTCGGGGAGGGCTCTCCCTGGCCTGCAGACCACTGCCCTCTCTCTGTGCATTTCCTCAGTGCGCACATCTAGTGGGGAAGGACCAACTGTGCAGTCCGTAGCATTGGCTTTTGTTTCAGAGAAGGAAGAGAGAGTCCCCAACGCCAAGGCATCCAGAAAACTTGGACATCAAGAGCACTGGCCCCTCCAGCAAGTCTCTTTATGCTGTGAATATGCAAATAAAATGGGGGGAAACTAAGTCAAACCTCCTGTGCCAGGTGATGTGCCAGGTGCACTTCACACCAACGACGGGTGTGATGCTGAGCAAACGCTCACCGAGGATCTGAGGCATCATTCTGTGCCTAGCGTCAGCCCCACACAGCAACCTGCACCCAGAGCATCTGCATGAGCACCCGCTTCCCAGGACCTGCCGGCCTCCCCCCAGAGCCCCACCTCTCCTGTCCCCACACCTCTGCCCAGGCCCAGGAGCCCCAGCCCATCCTCCGCCTCCAGCAGCCTGTGCTCCCTCTTCCTCAGCCTCTCCTCCTGCTCCTTGCACTTCCACCATCCACCCTTCTGAGGACGGGAGCCAGGCCTCTACCTGGGCTCCCATGGAGGCAGCAGGGCTGGGGAGACCTTTAAGGCCCTGCCTGCAATGAGGTGACCATCTGCTGGCTCATTGGACACCTGACTAATACTGGCTGTAGTGCAGAGAGGTGAGAGTTTGGGAGGCCAGTGGTATGGCTCCGACTCCCTGCCCTGCCACTTCCACCCCATCTCCCAGGTTCCACCTCAATGGGAAGGTCACTACCCAACTCCTGAGTAGTTGTGGGGAATTAAGAAATCAATCCATTATTCATGTCTTTGATATTTACTGAGCTCCTACTATGTGCCATATGCCCATGTGTGCTGAAAGCATAATAAGTTATATTCCAGTTGGATGTAAGGTTGACAGGCAATCAATGTTGAATTTTCAAAAGAAGGTGTTCAGTCTTCTACAAGCACATATTCCATATGCTCCTGATTGTTAAAACTATGGTGTAGGTCTACACCCACATTAAAAGAATAAAAGAGAAGTTGTTAAGATATATAGACATAGATATAGATATAGATATAGAATGCCACTTATGTTCCTTTAAAAGACACACATAATGATGTACAAATTACACCTAACATATATCTGAGTAGCAATACTATTAAAAACTTGGAACAGAAAGATACACTCTAACCACTTCATGCTAACATCCACTGCGGAAGTAGACATTGACTGTATCCACGACATTCCATTTCTCTTTAAGAAATAAACAGAGACAAATATGGAAAATGATAACTTGCACTGACTTCTTCGGCCTGCCATTTCATTTTCTCAGTACACTTTGCTGGATTCAAATTGCTCCTATTTTGTTGAGGACTTTTGCACCTAAGTTCATGAGAGATGGTGGGCAGTGGTTCTCTTGTACCATCCTTAACTATTTTGGAATCAGGGTGACACTAGTTTCAAAAATGAGTTGGGAAATGTCCCTTCCTCTTCTATTTTCTGGAAAAAGGGGTGTAAAATGAGTATTAATTATTTAAACGTCTGCAAGAGTCCTCCAGTAAAGCTACCTTGGAAGCTTATTAAATTACTAACTCTGCCTCTGTAGTGGTTATAGGGCTATTCAGGTAGTCTGTTTCATCCTGGTTGGATTTGGGTAATTTGCAGTGTTTGGGGAATTGGCCCATTTCTTTTAAGGTGTGTTGAATTTATGAGCATAAAGTTACTCAAAGTATCTGCTTATTATATTTTTAATGACAGCAGGATCTGTGGTTATATCCTTTGTGTAATAGCTGATACTGGTAATTGCTGATACTCATTTTTAACTTTTGTCCATCTTCCTAGAGATTTATCAGCTCTTTTTGTTCCATTGTTTTTTTTCTATTATTTTCCCACTTTTGATTTCATTGATTCTGCTCCTATTTTGATTTCTCTTTTCTACTTGTCTTGACTGTAATTTTGTGCCTTTTTTCTCGTTTCCTGAAGTGAGAACTTTGACTATTGGTTGATTTCCTGTGCTCTAAGGTTAGCATTTTTAGTTGCACCTCAGAGTGCCAAGTATTTCTTATTTTCTTTGAGATTCTCTGACCTATGAAGTATTCAGTGATATGCTGTTGAACTTCCGAGGGTTTGGAGATTTTCTTGTTGTCTTTCTGTCCACTGAATTTCAATAATCACCTCAAAATCTTTGAGGTTGTATCCCCGTGAGAACAGGACTGTCCATTAAGAAATGGACACAATATAATAATATAATAAGCAGATATGGACATAATATAATAATATAATAAGCAGATACTTTGATATAAATATACTATTTATATCACTCAAACTGAGAACAGGGCAAAAGTAGATGATCAATAAGTAAAGATGGGTGAATGATTAAAATATCTAATTTAAAAATCAAAAAGGGGGCGGGAGATATGAGAAAAATCAATGGTGATCATCACTAGGTGGAGAAACACTGTTTCTTCTTATTTTCTCCTCTTAGATTTTATGGTTTTAAAATTCTCTGCAATGAGCATACACTACTTTTACCATCAGGTAAAGGAATTATAAAAATGAGGATCGCTCTTTCTTCTGATGGTTCCCACGCCCTCCCTGACAGGTTATATCAGAATTTGAACTAGTGAAAAAACTGAGGATGAGAAGCAGGGTCACAAAAGGACCCTCCAGGAGGTCCCAGAGCTAAATTGCCCCAGGCCTTGGGTCAGAGGAGGATGCAGCTAGTCACTCCACTGGCATCCGCGTCTGTAATGGTTGCAACAAACGCCTTATCATTGAGGTCCTGTGCACCCTGAACCCCAGGGTCCATTTCAGCCTTTCTCTTCTACTGTGGAGAGCCCCTTGAGATCCCGTGAATTAGATGAAACTTCTCTCTTCCTAAATCCACCCACCAAAATTACTTTGACACTTTGAGGAAGTAGTGTTGGCATTTACCTTCAGGGCTTAAAAAAATAACCCAAAAGTAGGAAAGAACAGAGAAGAGATACTGTTTTGTTGTTGTTGTTGTTGTGTTGTTTTTGTTATTGTTTGTTCATTTTTTGTTATTTTTAATATGACCATCTTTTTCACCTTCAGCCGCAATCTCTTCCTGTTTTCATTAGGTAAACCCTTTGGGAAACTGATTGGATGAGCCAATTGGATGATTACCCCCAGCTGGCCAGGGTCACCACCCAAACAGTTCCTAGATGTGGACAATCTCTGAAGATGGGTGAAGATGCTTTTCTACTTTTGACAATAATGGTAAGAACTGGTTTTGATGTTTTGGGGGGGGTTATTTGTCTGTCTATTTGCTTTTTAAATTTTCATTCAATGGAGCAATTGCCTAGGTCTTCACATCTTTTTACTTTTCCCCCCTTTTGAGGTAAGGTGATTTCCTTCGAGGTCCAGGATTTCTTGGGGGGACCCAGACTTGGGCAAGTTTGTAACCCAGTACCTGGGGACATTGCAGGTATCATTTCTGGGTGTGCTCCACAAGTGGCAGAGAAGGGAGTGTCCTTGAATCTGAGCCAAAGGGATCAAGATTGATGAGCAGATCTATGTCAATCTATCCAAGATTTAAAGAACAGCCAAGGACGTGAGGATCTGGAAAATGATAACCTGATTGGGGGGAGGGGTGAAGAATTCATTCTCCAGGGAAAATTCAATTCCTATCAAACAAAACAGGCTATATGAAAACCAGCCCAAAATAGAGCATTGTAATGTAAACCAGTCTGTGCATTTAAAAAATCTTCTGATTTCTGTAATTCTTGAACACTTAACCTTTTGTTGCTATTGTTGAGAACAATTAAAATTGAGTATGTCAAAAAGACTTAGGTTAGTTTTAAGTTTAATTTTTATTAATAATTGCTGTTAAATTAAATTCAAAAACATCACCCACTCCTTCATAGCTCCCTGTGGAGACTATCCTCACCCACTGTGGGAACTACTCACAAGATAATCTTCTCTGTTTTTTGAGTATGCAAGGATTTTGCCTTCCTGCCCAAAAATGGTATGGCCGTGAAGCTTTGGACAATGAAATGTGTGAAGTGACCCACCTGACAGAAACTTCAGGCCAGCATGCAATCTGCTCTATCTTCTTCATCTTCTTGTGGATGCAAGTATCTCGATGAAGCCATCACTGGTCCCAGAGTATTATGACCTGCAGACCCACAATGGTTGGCGCTGTGGACTGAATGTGGCTTGCCTCCTCCCAAGCTCTTGTGGAATTTGGAAGTCATTGGGGGTAGCGTTGGGAGGTGGGGCGTTTAAAGGGCGATCAGGTCATGAAGAGAGAGTCACTCATTTCTCAAAGGAGAGGATTAATTCTCAGGAGAAGGGAGTTATCGGGAAAGTGATAAGTGACTGGTTTCCTTGGCTTTTCTCTCATCCTCTTTTACCACCTGATTCTTTCTGGCCTCCCACCATGTTATAACTCAGCACACGAACGTGGTACATGAAGCCAAGCCAATGCTGCTACCATGTTCTTGGACTCCCAGCTTCCAAAACCATGGAGAAAAATAAAATTCTTTCTTTTATAATTTACCAGTCTCATGTATTCTGTTATAGCAACAGAAGACGGACTAAGACAGATGAGTAATGTGAACAGGAAAAAAACATTTATTGTACAAAGCTACTGAGATCTAATGTAGTCACTGCAATATCACCTATCCTTACTGATGCTCCCATGTGCACACGTGCATGTGTGTACACACACACTTGCCTCTCTTGTCCAAAGGAGGCACCCAAGGCCAAGAAAGAATCCCAGGTAGATGTGATCTCTGTCCCTGAGAAGCTTATGAGCTGCCTTGGCCAATGGGGTCTCTGGCAGTGTACAGTGATGTTGATGACAAGTGGACAGTGCAAGAGTAAAATGACCAGCTGTCTACACGGCTGCACCGATTGAATCTGATGGGGCCAGGATGGATGGATGGAAGGGCAGCCTGGGGCCCAGGTGGCTCCTCTTGGTCCCTCCTGATCCATTCTTGACCTTCTCCATCCTGCCCTCTGCCCTGGGCATGCCACATCCCAGGCTCCTTCCCCCCTGCCTCTCGGGTGAGTCCAGTCACTGGGGACTTTGGCATAAGACAGCAGGGAAGGGGGAAGGTGAGGCTAGGATCACTCTCCCTATCTCCCTCCTCGCAGGGTCATCTCAGGCCAGCTGCACCCCTGGGCTGAAGGTTCCTGTTCCTCTGGGCCCCTGCTCTCCTTGATCATCTTCTACCTGATCCAGAAAGTGCGCCTCCTGTTAGCAGGCCTCAGGTCCAGGGTGGAGAGAGCCTCACGGTAAGTTACTGATCCCAGGACCCTGTAGCATGCCCTTTAGTTTCCCAGTACCTCACCCACACCCTTGTACATGGTCCTTAAAGCCTCTGATATAAAAGTGCCCTCTTGTTTAGGTCCTAACTAATGGACCTCGATGGGGAGATGACATAGAAAGAGTGATCTCGCTGTAATGACAGGGTCAGCTGGTAAAAGGGACAGGAAGGTTTAAAACAACAACATTCTTCATTAAGAAATGAAGACTAAATGGCCTTGCTTCTCCCTACCTTCTCTAAAATCAAAGGAGCACTGGCGGCCAAGAGCTGGCCTCTGCACCTCTGACGGGTAAGGGGGCCCTCGGGGAGCACAGGTCTCCCAAAGCCCTTTACCAGTGCTGGGGCCAGGAGTCAGCTGCAGGTCATGTCAATGCCAAGCCAAGGGCTTTCTCCACCCGCTTTCTCTGGTAAAGTTGACACCAGAAAACTAGACTCTATGTTCAACTTGAACCCCAGGCAGAGGCTTAATCTCTAGTTGTTGGAAGAAAATTCTAACCTTCCTTTTGAGCTCCCACACCTAGCATGGGGCTGTGCAGGAAGAAGGTAGCTTCTCCTTGCTCCCTTCCCACCCACCAGGAGTTCTTTTTTTGACCTGTGAAAGATTCACTGGATTCCTTCATTTCTTGGCTGGTTTTCCATGTGGGAAGCCAAAGGGGCCTTCCCAGTGAGCTGGATCTGGGCGCGTTCTAGGCCACACTGTCTCCTGACACCCCACGGGGTCCCCGCTCCTTACTGCATCCCACTCTGGGACGGTGTGCTGGGAACAGGCTGGCACCTGGAGCTCCAGCATTTCCCCGAAGCGGCTGGAGGAGCAGGTGGCAGATTACGATGTTGGGACCGGATGGGGGAGGGCGGGGCGGGCATGCCAGGGCGTCAAGTTAGAGGAAGAGCAGGTGGCAATTGGGAAGATTTAGGAGTTCTCTGGCTGTCATCAGGTTTTAGTGTATTGCCACTGACGTTGCTTGTAGTTTTTCTAAAGCAGGTAAGAGGGGGAAGAACCAAGGCAGGGAGTGCCCCGGTGCCATCTCTGCACAGCTGGGCGGAAGGCGAGGTGCGGAGGAAGGCTGAGGAGGCCGTAAGCTCCTCAGGCATCACAAGGTGCATGCCAGGGCCTGGGCTGGTCCCCACAGAGGGGCGGTAAAACTGTCTGCAGTATAACTTGCCTTGATGATGATTCCCGTGGAATTTAAAATCAGCAGAGACCAGTCAGTCAGCAGACAGCAGAGAAGTGTTTCATTATCATCATGAGGAAAACCAGGCTGTTGACCAGCGTAACAGTTTGGTTGTTGACAGGTGAAAGAGTTTGAAAAGAGGGGAGGGGAGAGGGGAGACAAGAAGCAAAGAAGCCAAGGCCCGCGCCTACCCAGGGCAGCCTTGTCCAGGTGGATCCGTTACGTGGACGCACCTTCTGGAGGGGGAAGAAGGAGCAGTTCCCAAATGCTGGAGTTTCTTTTAGCAGTGACCAAACTCTAGGTCCCCGTGGCGCCTCCTCCAGAGCGGCAGCCTCACAGCTTACTATGTACATGGCTACCCCGGGTCTGCTTGGAAGGTGGGCTGGGATTCCATGGATCTGGCCCTGTTTTCTGCATTTTGAACAAGCCCCTCGCTCAGGTTGATTTTGCTGCTCCCTGGAACACACTTGGAATCAGAGGCTGCCAGCCATGCTCAGGGACACTGCCCTCCAAACTAATGAAGAAGACTTGGCCTGGTGACCACGTGGCTGTTCAGAGAACTTGGTATCCAACTCCTGCCCTAACTGTCCACTCCAAGAGTGAACAAAGTACCAGTTAATCAGGGACAGTTGTCCCCAGGGAAGGGTAGCCACTCTGTCCTGGGCCTCCCTGGCTGTCCCCTCGCTACACACACGATTGCACACATGATTGTCCAAATCACACAAACTCCCACATCCACAGACATGCTTCTACTCTCTCTCTCTCTCTCTCTCTCTCTCTCTCTCTCTCACACACACACACACACACACACACACACACACACTCACACACACTTATATCTGACAACCACATTTTTGGGGCTGTTGTTAATACTGTCTGTCAATCTAGTGAAACAAAGTCTTGGTCGCTCTCTGACCTTAGCTTTGTTTGTCTTAGAGTTTAAATTTGAAGACAACTTTATTTCCTAAATCCAGGTTCCAAAGGGGCCCTTCAATGTGGCCAGCATTTATATGCATTTTTAGAGCCCCAGATGGCTCTGCCTGGCCACTTCCCTTGACACCCAAAACAGACAGGGAGAGTCTCAAATGGTTCCAAAAATTGATGATTGTTTTAAACAAAGATGCACTCTCCTCCAGGGTTGGGTCACTTTGCTTACCCTGTGCTGGGGGTAAGCTGCATGCACACAGGGAGAATGCCACGTGAAGACAAGGCAGAGATCAGGTGAAGCGTCCACAAGCCAAGAGATGCCTAATCCTGCCAGAACCTGGGAGATAGGCATGAAACAGATTCTCCCTCATGGGCAGCAGGAGGAGATCTTGTCTCCTCAGAAGGAAGCAACCCTGCTGACCTTGATTTCAGGCTTCAGCCTCCAGAACAGAGGCAATACATTTCTGTTGTTGAAATACATAACTTGTGAATCTGTGTTACAGCAGCACTAGCAAACTGATACAGCGTCGACAGACAGCAGGAATTTGTGTGGCACACAGAAAGCAAACTTGCTGCCAGTTGAAATGAACAGAACCTGAGCACCCCGTACCCCTCCCATGGCTGTCACTTGCAAAGCTGTTAAACATGATGCAGCTGACCAGGGTGGGGAGGTGGGCTGCAGGGGGTACCCAGGCTGCCTACAAAACCAGCTTGTCCCCTGCCTGATTGCAGATGAGTGCCCTGGACAGGCAGAGGAGCAGAGGAGGAAAACTTGGCTACATCCCTGCCTGCCTCCCTGGCCAGGGTGGTGCTCCCTGCCAGCTGGCCCAGCTCCCCACCACATACCTGGCCGGGAGTCAGTAGGAAAACAGTGTGTGTTTATAGGGCTTTGTACTGAAGGGCGTTAGATCAATGCAAAGCTAATAAATTAGAGATAAGTGGGATTTGTTGATTCGCTGGTGGTTAGAGCTGCAGGATCTAGTGTCGTCACCGGGTCCTTTCCATGGCTCTGGGCTGGCTGGAGTGTGAGTCCAAGAGGGGAAACGTCACCACTGTTGTAGGCTGAATTGTATCCCCATAAAAACAGAGGTTGAAGTCCTAGACTCTGAATGTGGAAATGGGGTCTTTGCAGAGGTAACCACGTAAGGGGGAGGCATACTGGATTCAGTGGGCTCTCCTCCAAGGTCTTTAGACAAGGGAACTTTGGGCAGACACCCAAAGAGGAGGAAGCTGTTCTAAGACAGAGATGCACACACACGAGGAACGGTGTGAGACGGCGGAGGCAGAGATTGGGGCCACGCATCTATAAGCCAAGGATAGTCAGTCAGTCCCCCATGGCCAGAGGCTGGAAGGGCAGGAGGTCTCCTCCCCTAGGTCCCTCAGAGCAGGCCCTGCCCACACCTTGACTCCATTCTTCTGGTCTCCAGAACAGGGAGAGGACGCATTTCAGTTGTCTGTTCACGTGGTTTGTGGCATTTTGTCTGGCAGCCCAGGAAACCGAGACGGGAGCCCTTCCTGCTGCCAAATGCAGCGGCCTCCGGGGCACCTTCGTCAGGGCTAGGAATAGACTGCAGAGCCCAGGCCAGCCTCAGAGGGGCTTCAGCCTCAGCCTCCTCGCCCCACACTCCCCAGCAACCGGCTGAAATTTTCCCCCTTTGTAGCCTGTCCCTGGAAGGGGGTGACGCTGGAGCCATCCAGATTCTGAAGAGTGGGGGTGAGAATGGCCTCCCTGTCCTCTCTGGTTCTGGTTCTTTATGAAATCGAGGGAAGGGAAGTGACAGAGCTGCGTGACCTGCCAAGAGCTGTGTGCTTTTGGACCAAAGTCCCCCAAATTGATGATTGTTTTAAACAAAGATGCACTCTCCTCCAGGGTGGGCAGTGGGCTGGGAGCTGGGAGCCAGGAGGGGGGAGCAGGAGAGGCCTGGACTCCACTCCTAGGCAGTGGCCCTTCTGTGCCTTCATAGGCTAATTCCAGTCTGGGAGGCATTTGCCCCTCGTCCCCATTAACGAACCCTTTTCCATCCACCTAGTCCGTGCTGTTGCCCCCACTCTGCAAGGTCCCTCATTTTCCATGCCAGCCCTCTTCCCCCTTTACCTCCATCACCACCAGCTTCTGCAGGCCAA